GTTGTACATGAACTTTACGTTCTGGTGCCATGATTATTGTAATTTGTTTTTTTTTGTGATTTTCACACACACAATGAATTTACAGAATATAACTGGGTGAAAGAAAAAGAAACTGGAACAACAATAAAGCAAGATAATCAGCAGTAGAAAAAAAACTAGGTTACTGGAACTGACAAAGAATTTGGGTTAAAATTTTTTGCTGATAATTTATAGATGACAAGCACACACACACACACTAACTGAGGATTAACTAGAATCAATATGATTTTTGTTTTTTTTGACAAGGAGAATGATGATGACACAAATATGAAATGTACACTGCCGAAAATCAACAAACACACACAAACTGTAAATGCAAATACGATTTTTTGATTATCAAAACAAAACTAACTAACTTTTTTTTATTTGCAGCAATCAACTAAATACAAAATACAAAATAACGAACCGATATTTATATACTATTTGCCGATTTGATGATAATGGTGGCAGTTGTTGTTATGGTGGTGGTGGTGGTGATAAACAATATTCAATGTTTTCAATATTCTCTCTCTCTTTTCTCTCGTCGTTGATTGAATGAAGGTACTTTTCTTCTCTTTTCTTTTTACTGTTTGATAATGAAGCAGACTTTATTCCGACGACTATGAAGATGATGATGATTTTTATTCATTCCTTCATGGTCGTCGTCGTCGTCGTAGCCTTCGTTATAGTTGATCTTTATGCAATGAGAGAAATGTTGCTGTTGTTGTTGTTGTTGTTGTGGTTGGATACGAGAAAAGGCGTCATGTATGTATATGCATGAGACATATATGAATCCCGAACAAACACCACCACCACCACCACAAAACCACTATCATCACGAGATAGTCATCAATGTTTGGATACCGAAAAAAAAATTGCTACTTCCAATTTCAAATACGAAAAAGAAAAAAAAAATTGTTTACCCGGGTAATGTTTGAATTTTTTTTTCTCGGTTGGTTGTTATGATATTGCATGATGGCTATCGATGTTTTTGATCAATGAAATAAATGGTCAAAAAAAAATCTGAAATTTTATCCTCGAACATTGTTCGATAGATTCGTGGTTGATAAAATGTTTATACAATTTTCGGTTTTTTTTATTGTATTTGTTCGTATGATAATAGGGTAGGTCTTCAATATGATTTTGGATTGAGCGTAGGATTCAATGAACAAACATAATTCATTATACATTATACATTTTCATTGCAAAACCCAAACAAAAACAACAAACAAGAAATCATCAATGCCATTACCATCAAATTACAAATTTTCATCATTGATTATAATCAACAATCATCGTAGTTGTTTACTTGTTAACTTGCTTGAATGCAAATCATTAATTGAATGAATGATTTGTTTGTGTGTGTGTGGATTGTTTTCAATCATCAATGAATAATAATGAAAATAATGTCTGACGGAAAGAATATAAACCATTCAGACAGTCAAAGCATCAATGTGTGGAATGTTTCATTCAAAAAAACATTATGTATGAATGAATGAATGAATGAATGAAAAAGAAATTTTTCAAGTTTTCTTTATTATTATTGCTGGTCGGATGTTCATTGAATAATACAAACCAAAATGTAATTACTTTAATTTGTATAATAATGATGATGATTATATTACCAAAAAATAATAATGGAAAAAAAATTTTCAAACAAAAAAATGTTTGCGAATAACAAGATGCTTTTAAAAGATTACGTAACTATGCCTGTCAAGTGTGTGTTAAATCAAAATTGTTGGCCATCTTGTTTTGTTTGTTTGTTGTCTATAATAACTATTACATTCCATAAATGGGCAAATTCAATTCAATTTTTTTGAAATTTTGTTTTTGGTTTTTTTCGAATCGATCGAACCCCAAAATCACCATGATGATTAATCGGCTATCAGGGTAATTTGAAATGAAATGGAAAAATTTCAATTCAAATTTTGCAGTTTAGCGCCTAGATAAGTTCCGGTTTTGTTAGGCAATCTCAAAAACGAAAAGAGAAACGAAAAGAAAAGAGAAAAGAGAAGATATTTTTTCCACTATCATCATCCCAAACATATCAAATGTCCAAATAAAGACATAAGCGATATTTTGCTTGGAAATTTCAAATCAAACAAACAAACAAAAAAAAATGAATGTTTATGTTGATCATGCGATGACCAAATGTATTTTGACTTTAAAAGGAATTTTTTTTTTAAATCTGTTTGTTTGTAAGCATCCACCAATGATTCCTTTGGGTAAAATACGTGGGTAGCTTGTATTTTGGTGTAGGCGGATGAAAAGTAAGCAAGAATTTTACGTTAAAAAAATATTATTTGTCATCAAACAAAAAGATACAAAAATTTTCGCTACTTTAAAAAACATTTGGTCATATTAGCGAAAAAAAACAGGCAAGGTTTGTAAATTGTTACATAGTCAAAAAGCAAAAAATCTTGGATCAAAAATAAAGACCACCCGGACCATATTCACCATAACGCATATATTGATTATTATCATACCTGCCATAATCATTATAATTATATGGATAATCATTACTACGATAAAAATCATAATGATATGGACCATTACAATCATTATATGGTAAATTATATGGCATATGTGGTACACCATATGTCATTAAACGACAACTTTTTACAATAAATGTACCGGTACGTTTTAACAATGATTTCTTTTTCTTATTTTTTTTACGATTTTTTTTCAACCATAATTTACGATTTGAATTATCATCATCATTATTGCCATCACCATTGTTGTTGTTTTGGGCAAAACGTACAGATTTTTTTGAATTTTTTCGGATTGATTTGAATGTATCATCGTTTCCATCATCATCATCATCATCATCTGATTCGATTAATGTTGAATAATTTTTTTTATTTGTTTTACCAGCAAATATTAATCGTGTTTTTTCCGTTTTCTTATTAAATTCAGTCGATGTTGATTCATTTAGATTTGATTGTTGTTGTTGTTGTTGTTGTTTTTGTTTTCGTTTAAAGGAAAATGATTGAAAAATTCGGTTACGTTTTTTAACTTGTTGCTGTTGCGGTTGATTATCATCAATTTCATAACTATCGATTGTTTCGATTGATCCATAACGACGACGATTACGACGATTATTATTACGTCCCATACAATTTAATTCACGCATCTTTTCACTTACTGTTTGAACATAATCTGATTGGGAAAAAAAGAAACAAACTTAAATCAGAAAATTAGATTTGCGAGAAAGAAGAAACAAAAATTAACTACAAAAATCATCATTTTTTTATAATTATAAAAATAAAAAAACTAAACCAAACATGTGATGGATAACCTATTTGTAAAAAAAATGTTGTTTTTATTAAAGTTTTTATTATTATTATTGTTGTTGTTATCATAGTTTGTAACCAATGACAATTACATCCATCCAATCACCTATAAAATAATAATAATAAAAACTTTACTTCACCGATTTGGGATACACACACACAAACAAAAACGGATAGAAATTAAAGTAAACAATGATATTCACAAAAAAAAATTTTCTGGTAAGATGAGAAAATATACATACCGATATACCGGACAAAATGAAAACTTTTTTTTTCTGAAAAATATTTATTGACAGACAGCCAAATTTATATGGATGATGTGATTGCCAACCAATCAACCAACAAAACTAAAAATCCTAATTTACGAATGAAAATTGTTTGTTTTTTCGAAGTTTTATCAGTTGAAATGAAATGATATTCGATTGATGATTGATAAGGATTGCCAATTTGATGATTTCTGATTTGGTTGTAGCGGTTGATATATATTGATACTTGGTCTTCATGAAATTGATATCCAAAATATTTTCAAATAGTTTGGCAAAATATTAGAAACAAAACAGAAAGAAAATTGTTAACCCAAAAAAAAATTCGTCTTTTTTTTCAATAACAACTTGAATATGGTTCGATTTTTGTCTAATAATCTAATCATCTATAGAAATGATGATAAGATTTTGTTTTCATTTTAGTTTGAAATAAGTTAGTTCAGTTTTTTCTTGTTCGCTTAAAAATTTTTCCACCTTAAATTTGGCTTTGAAGCTTTAAATTTGACCAAATTGAAATGGATCGGAAGAAATTTTTAAAAAAATTCCAAATCAAAAAAGAAAATGTAAAGAATTCAATTCGTTAAAAACTAGATGGCAACACTGTTCAAATGATAAAATCTGGTGTTTCGTCTTTTCACTCCATCTCTCTCCCTCTCTCTCATTATGCGTTGTTATTGATGATGATGTTGATATGTTTTGATGTATTTATTTATTTTCATTTTGGGTAAAAACGACAAATAACAACAACAACAACAACAACGACGACAACCAGAAAATAACCAGAAAAAACCTTTTGTGTTTTTTTCTTTTGAAAAAAATTTCAAGAATCGAGAAGAAATTATTTCAGAAAAAAAAAGAAAAGTAACCAGTGAATAAGAATCGAGTGTGAAAGTCAGAATAATCAAGAATCATTCATATGTTTATTGTTCATTTTTTTGTTTGTTTGTCCATTATCAACGAATCATCGTCATATCGAATGATCAATGGTGTGAATGTCATCATTGATCCAATTGATCCACAATTGACAATCAAAAGATCATTGCAACTAGTCTCTATGTTTGTTGTTGTTTTTGTTGTTGTTTGTTGTTGTTCATATATTTAATTTGTTGAAACAAAAAATCAATCAATTAATTTTAAATAAATTGAATCAAAAAAAATCAATATAAATTTCCTACAAGTTTTTTTTCGAATTATTGATTGTTTCATTGATTCGAACGTTTTGTTTTTCTGTTTTTGTTTGCCATCAATTCCAATCATGTCATCAATGCAGGTAAATCAATGTTGAAAAAAAACTTATTTTAAATTTTTGGTAATTTTTATTTTTTTGTAATCAAAATATAGAAACGATTACAAAAAGAATTAATGTCATTGAAAAAAGATCCACCAACCGGTGTATTTGTAGATGAAATGAAGATTGAACCAGATATGTCACAGTAAGAGATTAAATTGATTGATTTTCAATTGAATTTGTATTGGATTTATCAATTTTTCTTTCTTTTTTGTTTACTGAATTTAAAGATGGTCCATCGATATTGTTTGTCCAAAAGGAACATTATATGCAGAAGAACGATTTACATTGTCTTTCAAATTTAGGTTTGGAATTTGTTTTTTTGTTTTTTTGCTTTTTTTCCGATAACATTTTCATTTCTTTTCTTTAATAATAGTTCAAATTATCCATTCGATTCACCTGAAGTAACATTTATTGGCACAAACATACCAATACATCCACATGTTTATAGTAATGGTCATATCTGTCTTTCAATATTAACTGATGATTGGTCACCAGCATTATCTGTACAAGCTGTTTGTTTAAGTATACTATCTATGTTGACCGGTTGTAAAGAAAAAAAACGACCACCAGATAATACAATGTATGTTCGTACTTGTTCAAAAAATCCGAAAAAAACTAAATGGTATTATCATGATGAAGATATTTGAAAATTTTTTTATTGAAAACAAAACAAAACATTCGGTTACAAATTCTTCAATGGCATTTCAAACATCATTAATAATACCTAATATACCTACCTAATTACTACAACATTCATTTCATTTCATTTCATTTTTTTTTGAAACAAAAAAAAAATTCATAAAAAGATAACAAACTATTTCATCCATCATCACTATCATCATATTTTCAACAACAACAACAACAAAAAAATTTATAAATAAATAAATAATGTTTTAAAAATTCATCGAAACTATTCGATCGATTTGTGCTCACACACACACCATTCAGGATACATACACACACATGAAAAAAAACCATATATTTTAAATAATTTGTTGTTTGTCGTTTTTTTTCCACCAATCTGTATTGAAACCACACACACACACCCACACGTTTATTATGCTAGTCAAAATCAATTACACCACATGCACAACAACATTATCATCAATAGGTCAACATTTCAATCAATTTATCACATCGATTTAAGAAAATTCATCCAACAAAAGAGGGATCGAAAACGAATACTTCCTGTTGTTGTTTTTTTCAATGAATATCGATCAATATTTGATTTTTTGTTTGTTTTCAATTTTCTTCAACCATCAATCCATCTGTTTGTTTTTTAATGAATTTCTAATCGATTAATTGATTTGTGCTGATGATGATGATAATGAACCACCTACAACCCCTTCCCACACACACACACACACACACACACGAATCCAGAAGAAAATGTTGCACGTGTTATCGGTTGATGATCAATAAATGAAAAAATAGTGGCAGGCTCAGGAAAGCAGGATCATGGTTAAAACAATTTCTTTTCTTTTGTTAAACATTTTTAAAAAAATTATTATAGAAGTTTAATAATTATAATTTCTGTGTAAAATAAATTGATAAATAAAAACAAATTTTTAACGAAAATGAATTGAAAAAGAATTATTATCTTTGTGTAATAGATATAATATTTACAAAATGAATGGCAAACATTTATAGTTTTTTTTGTTTTGTTTGTTTCGATGGTATGTTTATTGTTTGTTTTTTTTTGTTCGATGGAAAAAATTATTTGGACGGTTTCCATAATCGGATTTGATGATTGATGAAACTTTTTAAAAAACAAAAACATACGTTATTTATGAAAGACAATAATGATTACTTGTTTCCGTAATTTTAATACTTACATATTCGATTACTTACGCCATCTACTTTTCATTGAATAATGTTGTTGTTTTATTCGATATTTATTATCACCGATAATTGTTGTTTTCATTATTGATGGATTTGATTTTGGTCTTTTATAATCCTAATGTATAATTCAATCAATTAATGATTAAAATTTTCTAATTTCCGAAAACATAGACATAATTATACAGAAACATCAACAAACAAAGAAAAACATTGATATTATTACAAACGAGAATAGGAAAACAAAGATTCATCGATATTCACATTGACATCGTTTTGACCAGGATGACAGACAATTTTTTTTTTTAAAGTAAAGCATGATATGATATTGACAATAAACAATTTGGAATTTCAACAAACAAAAAAAAACATGGAAGAAATATGTTGGTGGATATATATTGTGAACACTTGATTCATATTTTATTGATTTTTGTGTGCTCGAATGATGATCGATCAATGTATCAATCAATCAATCAAATAGAATCTGTTGTTCATTTTCCTAATTTGAAAAAAAAAACAAAATTGAAAATCATTTTTGAAAATTCCAGAATTCGGTTAAATACAATGTGCTTTTTTAGAGTATTGGGCGTTCTAAGCGTCAATCATCATCATCATCATTTAGTTTGGGGATTCTAAAATGGATAGTGTAAATTGAAATTCAAAGATTACATTTGAAATATTTCTATTTCAGTCATTTGTAAAATTACTTTCACTAAACTATAAAAAATAAAACATTGTAGATCATCATCATATCATCATCATAAATGTGAATTGGGCAGATTCTCTACTTAGCAGAATGTTGTTGTTATTATTAATTCTATGTCTATGTTTTTTTTTCTCTTTATGAATAATGAATTTTAAATGATGGTGGTGATCGCCACCATTACTATATTCCATTAGACTAAACAACAACAAAATTTCTGGCAATCAAAAAAAAATTGTTTATGGAAGGCAAAGGAGTAGTAATATAGCAATCTTCAACCAGATTTAACTTTGGTGTGTGGGAAATAAAAATTGAAATTGAAATGTTAATTATTTTAACCTAGACTTGGATTTCATTTTCGAAAATGTGTGCAAACGTATCATTTGGCTGTTGTCGAGATAAATAAATCATTAATATAACACACTGATATGAGATTGTTTTTTGTGTTTCACAAAAAAAAACAAAACAAAATCAAATGACAAAATGGATATGATGCAATCAGACAACACACATTTTGGTTGGTTTTGGTCAACATATATAGCATTTGATAATGGTATATTTTATCATGCCATAAAAAAATGACGGGAATAAAAACAAGTAGTGAAATGAAGCAATTTTTTTCCAAAGAAAATAATAATAACTTACCATTAGTTTTTTAGATTTTTCAATTGTCGAACAATTTCCAATAACATTATTATTATTATTCTGATTATTATTTAGAATCTTTGGTGTGGATTTTTTGATATTCATCAAATCATCATTAGTTGAATCGATCAATGTTTGATTGGAAAAACTTAGTGTTGTTGGACTAGATATTGTTGGATTATCATCATCATTATCGATATTAATTTGATTCGTATTAATAGCCATTGTTGTTGTTGTTGTTGTTGGTGATAATGGTGATAAATCAACAAGATTATTCTGACTAATTGAATTGCCTTGATTTTTTGTTAATATTTCTTCGGTTGTTGTTGTTGCTGTTGGTCGTTCAAAATAACCTTCAGCACGTTGTCCAGCATCGGTAATAGCAATACATCCACCTTTTAAAAAATGATCAAAATTTCTATAACAACCAATACCGGTATTTGCTTGTGATTCTTCACCAATACTTATTGTATCAATCTAGGGACAGATAAAAAAAATTTTCAATTAATTTCTTTTTAACAACAAAAAAAATAACTAATTTAAAATACTTGTTGTTGTTGAATTGTATTATTTTCTGTAATAACATCTATAAGATCCATTGATTTAACAAATGCATCACGTAAATTTACATGTGGAAATGATACTATTGAACCATCACGTCTAGCACGTTCTAATGCTTCTTTACGTTTTAATGCTTTTTCTCTTCGCATTTGGGTCTATAAATGTTTTTTGTTGTGAGAAAAAAAATTTAAAATCACGCAACATTCTGAATATTGTGAACATACCTTATAAAATTCGGCAAAATTATTCACTAAAAAATTTAAAAATTTAAAATTTTTAAAAAACATAAAATTTTTTTTTGTAATGACATACCAATAATTGGAATGGGTAATGCAACCACTAATACACCACAAATACAACAAGCAGCACCAATAATTTTACCAAATGGTGTTGTTGGATAAATATCACCATAACCAACAGTTGTCATTGTAATACTTGCCCACCAGAATGTATCCGGTATTGAACGAAATTTGGTATTGATTTCATCTTTTTCAGCAAAATATGCTAAACTTGAAAATATCATAACACCGATAGCTAAAAATAGCATCAAAAGGCCTAATTCTTTATAACTATTTTTTAATGTAAAACCTAAACTTTGTAGACCAGTGGAATGTCTTGCCAATTTTAATATACGTAATATTCTCATTATACGAAATATTTGCACCACACGACGTACATCTTGGAATTGTTCGGAACTTTTGTTTGATTCAATAAGAAATAATGATACAAAATATGGTAATATTGCAAGTAAATCGATTATATTTAGGCCTCCTTTGAAGAATTTCCATTTATTTGGTGATGACATAAAACGTAACATATATTCTAATGTAAACCATGTTATACAGACAGCTTCAATCATTGCTAATTTTGGATTCTCTTCATTTGCACCAGTGATTGGATCCTGTACTTGAAAACTATCAATCGTATTCAATGTAAGTGCTATGGTTGATAATACAATAAATAATATGGATACAACGGCTAATACCTATACCATTTATAGTTATTATATATCGATAATCAATCAGAAGAGAGAAAAAAAATAGGTGCAGATTATGACATACCCGTGCGGCAAACGATGATGTTGGTTTTTCCAATAAATCCCAAACAAATTTTTGATATTGTGCACATTTCCCTGAACCAAATTCTTCTTCATCTCTTTGTCGTAATGATTCAGCTTCTTTACGCATTTCTTCAAAAATATTTTCTTTACGTTGATGATATTTATGTTGACAACAAGATTCCAAATATAATTCATCAATACCCCAATAATCAAGATCATCACTAAATGCCATTACACACATTTCTTCAACTAAATGTAATTTTCCTGTGCGATAAAAATTCAATATTGCTGCAAATGAACGTGGATGACGATCGAAAAAATATTCATTTTCATCTGGATTATAATCATCACATATTTCAAATATTGATTCTTGTGTAACACATTCTCTTAGTCGACCTAAACGTGTATGTGGTAAACGTTCCAATGCACGCCATAATACTTCATGACGAACACCACCAACATTTATTGTTACTCTACGTCGACCTTCACGACTTTTTAGAATGGCTGTTGTTGTTTGATCTAATGGAATATAACCTAATGAATGTGAATGATGTACAATATCATTATGTAATAATGATGTTGATTGATGATGATTTTGATGATGGACAATCGATGGTGATGATCGATGATTAATTTTTCCACCAACTGATGATGATGATGATGTTGATACACCTCTTGTTTGATTCATCACCATCGATGGTGTTGGCCAATAAAATTTTCTACCAATTTTTACATTTATTTTTGATAATGATGATGATTGTATTGTTGCTGTTGTTGTCGTTGTTGTTGTTGTTGTTGATGGAAATGTATTTGATTTAATTTTTTGATCATTTAAGGCTGTTGTGGTATTAGTGGTAGTCATTGATGATGATGATGTTTTAGTTACATTAAAAGGCACTTCTAATTCAATCAGATCAGTATTTTCATCACAATCTGACATTTTTTTTCTTATTCAATTTTTTACTTCAATTATGTTTACCATAAGGCGCAAATTTGATGAAGCGAAATAAAGAAAGAAAAAGAAAAATAAAAGCAAACTAATGCAAGAGTCTGTCGGAACATTTCGTCCATATCGTAGTGGTTGTTGTGTATTGGTTGCATTTCATTTCATTTTTTTCTGGTTCAAAAAAATGAAATGACAATTCTTCAATTCAATGAGAATAATAATTTTTTTTTTTTGCTAGTTCAACGGTGGTCGTCAATCAATAATAACAATAATAATAATAATAATAATAGTGTATTATAAGTCATAAATTAAACACAAACATACACCGAATAGAATTGCAATAGACATTTGATGATGGTGATGGTGATGGTGATGAAAGGAAACGACCTTAAATGAGAATGGAACGAAGAATTCGTTATCGGAACCAAATCAACAGACATACACACACAGTGGAAGAATATAGAATATTCGCTTTGTCGATTTTTTTTCAGCGGTTGTTTTTTTCCCAAACCAAACAAAAAAAAATTGCTCCGCGTTTATTTTATTTTCATCAACAATAGAACATTATTCTATTGGAACATATGTTGTGAAACAAAGTATATTCTGTATTTGTTGAAACAGAATCGAGATCAATAATGATGATGATGATGATGATGGAAAGGTGAAATTAACTTTTTGATGAAAATAAATAAAAAATCTAAATGTCCATTTAGTTTATAATAATAATAATAATAATGGTATGAAGGTAAACAAAACAATGGAGAGAAAAAAAAAGAATTATATATTTGATGCGTGCGAATCGTAAATAAATAAATAAATAAATTCATTTTACAGAATTTACACACACATGTATAGAATTGAAAGAATATTCTATACTGAGAGAGATAGAGAATTCAGTTGCTTTTCATGACAAATACACACACACACAAAAGTTAACAAGTTTGATTGATGAAAATATATAAAAAGGAAAAAACTGTCATTGAACAGACTGAAATAGTTTGTTGTTGTTGTTGTTGTTGTTGTTGTTCTGTGAATTTGAGAATTTGAATGATGTAAGTTTAATTCAAATTCAATGCTAAGTAATTTTTAAAGAATAATAATAAATAAATAAATTCTGGAAGAAGCAAAAAGAAAAGTGCAATGAATGGAATGACATCGACATTGGCATCCAAACATTCATTCATTCATTTGATTGGTTGGCTGAATGTTTGATGATGAAGATTATTGAATTCTAAATATAAAGTCATGTCCTCGACGAATGTATAATCATCATCATCATCATCGTAATAATAATTGAAATGAAATGTGAATCCATTACATTTTTACGTTTCTCTTTCATATAAACAATAATATTACTAAGAAAATACATAAGGAAATGTTGGTTTCTGCTGATGATGGTGGTGGTTATGATGATGATAAAACATTATTCACACAGATCATAATAAATTTTAATGATGATTGAAATTCTTTTCTTTTCAAATTTGTGGTTTTGAAAAATAAAAAACATTGATTTGCAAAAAAATAAAACAACAACAATTTCGAATGTTTGGAACATGCAGCCAAAAAAAAAACACCAAGATTATTAGAATATGACCGAAATGGATCGAAATAGAATCGAACGTTTTTTTTCCTGCTCCTGCTGCTAATCATGAATTACCTTTGGAAAATTCTTATTCAATGCTGTTAGTTGTTTCTCATGATTCTATTATTATCATCATCAAGAAAAAGAAAAAAGAATTTATCAGATCAATCATTGATCATGTTTTTTCTTTTGTTTTGTTTCAGGATCGATAAATCTTCCATTTAAGAATACCACCACCACCACCATCACCAGTATTCTCACCCACATCATTCAAAATTATTCTTTAACATGGGGTTGGCTGCAAGCAAATAAGAATTTTTTCTCTAGGGGACAATAATAATAATAATAATTAAGTAGCGGTGGTTGAAAGTACCTTGGTTACTTGAATAATGAAAAATATTGGCAACCATTAAAGAATTGAAAGATTGCAAACAACAACAACAACAACAATACCGCATTAACTAACCAACCAACCAACCAAACAAACAAACAAACAAAAGTAATGGTGAAACAATGGTGACAACAACAACAACAACAACAAAATGAACGGATCGTTAAAGAAAGAAATCATCCAAGAAAATGAATCACAAAAATGTGATGATAAATAAGAATTGAACGTACTTTATTTATACAATTGATGAATCCAAAAAAAAAATGTAAACGATAAACAATAACAGATTTGTTGAATGGATGGAAATTCAAAAAGTTTAATCATCCATGATGGTAATATTTCAATGTTTGAAAACAAACAAACAAACAAGCAAACAAATGATCGTCAAATGACAGACTCAAATAGAGAATTTCAAAAAGTAAAAAAAAAAATCAACAACAACAACAACAACAACATGGATTTTCTTTTCCATTTCCATTCTGTTGCTTATCGATTTATTATTCTTATGATTATTCTTGATGATTCCCACCATTCCAACAACAAAAAAAGCGATACGGTAACCACCACCACCACCATCAAAACCAGATCAACCAATTGCTGCTGTATACAACAACAACAACAATATCATCCAGATCAGAATCTCCCCAAGATACGATCATAATCATCATTCGCGCGCTCTCAACATTTTCATTCATTCTTTCATTATTATTGTGGATTTTATTGCAAACAAAAATCCTGGGTAGGTGGTAGTAATAATAATAATAATAAATTATTATGATTCTGATTCTGTCTGTTGCATTCACGCTTTTGATCGTTTTATATTAGAATCAGTATTTGCATTCGCGCATTTTCGATTTTTTAAAAAAAATCGCAAACGACAACGCCATCTATGTTGCGCAAATTGAAATAAACAAGAAAATGGATAAATTTTGACAAAAAAAAATTTATTTTTTTTATTCAAGAAAGAAAAATTCAAATCATTTTAGTTTTTTCTTCAAAAATTCCTATTGAAAATGATGAATTAATTGATCAATTTAAATAAATTAATGAAGTAATCATTTACCTTGGCAGAATTCCGCTACGTTTAGCCAAACGATTGATACAATCATCCGATTCACCCTGAAAAAAAGAATTCGATTGATTAAAGATTTTTGTTTTTTTTTTCAATTCGAAATGATAATACCATTCGTCGCAATGCACCACAAATAGCATAAGCTGTACATGATGGTTTGAAAAGACCATTTTCATCAATATCAACGAAATTTATCTGTATTGATGCATGATCTTTAGCGTGAATGATTCGGTTTGATGCCGAACTATGTCGAGGAAAAACAAAACATTAACAAATTTTCAATGCAAATTTTTGGAAAAAAATCATACCATTTACGCGGAATATAAAGATCAACACATTCACCGTGATCGTTTTGCATTTTTGGTTGGTCAAAATTTAATTAAATTCTTTTTGAAATTGACAAAAAACAAAATTTGAAAAAACACACAACACACGCTGTAAAAGGAAGAGGAAAAATCTTTGAGAAACAAACACGCTTTTGCAACAAAAAAAAATTTACTGAGCAAAAGTAAAGTAAACCATTCATAAACGACATGTATGATTTTTTTTCCAGGAAACTTTCTCAATTATAAACAAATGATAAAAATTCAATGATACGTACGTTGTTTTTAATCATAAATTTTTCATACACCACCCATCATTAATTTTTGATCAACTTTCAAATAAATTTTCATTTCGAATTGACAATCCAGAATCGAAGAAAAAAAAACCAAAATGAATGAACATCGAAGTGAACTATTTGAAGAAGTTCGACTTTATCGTACAGCACGTGAACGTGAACATTATGATAATATGGCCGATCTATTTTCAGTAATTAATACATTAAATCTTTTGGAAAAAGCATATATTCGTGATTCGATTACATCAAAAGAATATACGGCAACATGTTCAAAATTATTGGTACAATTAAATGTTGCATTCAATCAGGTGAAATCGGATGAATTTCCAACAATCGAAACATTTATGAATAAATTTCGTTTTGATTGTCCAGCTGCATTGGAACGTATACGTGAAGGACGACCAATAACAATAAAAGATGATAAAGGTAATACATCAAAATGTATTGCCGATATTGTATCATTATTTATTACAATTACCGATCGTTTACGTTTAAATATGAAATCAATGGATGAGGTATTTATCCTTTTTTTTCCCGAAAAAAAAACTTTGAATTTCTAATTTTCCTTTCTTTTATCATAATTATAAAAAATAGTTACAACCAGATATTAAAGATTTATATGATACAATGAATCGTTTAACATTATTACCACAAGATTTTGAAGGAAAATTAAAAATTAAAGAATGGTTGGATAAAATGTCATCAATGCGAGCCAGTGATGAACTGAATGATGAACAAGTACGACAATTAATTTTCGATATGGAATCATCATATAATGCATTCAATAAGATTCTACATAATTCATAATAATAATATTATTTTGTTTTTAATTTTACTTCATTCTTAATAACAATTTTTATCATTTGAATTTGAATTTGAACAAACAAACAAACAAAGAAAACAATAAATCAAAAGAAAACATCAAGGTCAAATCAAAATGTAGAACATTGTAAAATTGTGAATTCTTTACATTCATTGCGTAGGTTTTGCTGTTTGTATTGATTATTGATCATAATCATCATCAATAATAATAATACAAAACGTGATTTATTGATTTACTCGATACAAATCATTTTCATTTCATTTTCGAAAAATCGGATCATTCTGTATTGGCAAGATTTAATCAAGTGCAAAAATTTTTTTCGCATTTTGTTATCAACAAAACAAAACAACGAAAAAATAGCGAAACAATATTTTGCACTGAAAATCCAAAAACAAAGAAATCTTTTTTGTTACAATTCAAAAAGAAAGAAAAGAAAATTTTTCTCGTGATTCCAATCATGATCAACAAAGAAAAAGATACTGATTTTTTTTTCTTGGAATTCAATTTTTGATTTCGTAAAAACAAAAAGATTTTATTGTTTTCTTTGTTTTGAATTTCATCAAATTGAAAAAAAAAGTGAAAATTAATTTTTCTTTTTTCGTTACAAAAATTCATATGAATAATAATGGGGAAAAAAATATATAGCTAGACCAAAACTAAATGCAAAAATTCGTTCAATATCTACTAATGAATAATTTTCGAATCGCATTCGTTTAATAATAAATTTCCATCATCAATTGTTTCAACAGGTCAACATATATAAAAGGGGAAAAAAAAGCTAAGAAGCGATAATCAAATCAATTGAAAATCAATATTCAAAATGTAAATTCTTCGCCACACACACACACACACACTATAATCAAAGATTGGTGGGTGATCATCACCACTATCATCATCATCAAGTGGTTATGGTTATCATCACGATTTATGGCCAAAAAAAAAAATTCATTTATTCGAAGTTGAATTCGAATTTCTCAATAATTTTTGACCACAAAAATAAAATGATAATAACCACACACATAATAAATCTACGCCTACTATCTAAGTATAGTTTTTGGAAAATCAAACAATATCATGATGTCAGTACAACAAAACAAAATTATATAATACTTTAATAACAATAATTTTTTTTCGTGTTTTTTTTCTGTTGAACAGAATGATAATGAAATAATTGATGATTTTTTTCATCTTTTCATCAGTGTGATCTGCTGCTATTCGTGATGATAGGATGTCTAAAAGTGTTGCAAACAAAAAAAACTTTTACCTTGAATTCAAATGCTTTTTTTCAATCAATGCAACTGATGATGATCATTTCAATGATGATCTTCACCACACACTGATCTAGATCTCTGGGAAAACAAACAAAAATCATCAAATTTCTAATTAAAATGTCACTAATATTACTGAATGTTTGAAATTGGAAAAAAATTATGTTAACCATTAAATATTCAGAAACAAAAATATTCAGTCGGAAAGATTGCAAATCGATACTTGATTGGGAAGATCTGTTTTCTTTTTTTAAAAACTAAATTTGATCATCATCAAAAGTCCTTTTTCATCATCATCATTGATTAAAATTGATGAACATTTATAATTTTGCCATTCTGTCTGTCTGTCTGTATGTCTGATCGATGCAGTGAGAAAATCACTGAAAAAGTGTAAATAATAATAATAATAATTTATTAATCACATACGGGCATTTTTTTTTGCAAATCCAATCATCACCAGATATACACACACAGAAAAAGAAAAAAATATTGGCCATAATGGATCGTTTTTTCTTCGTCTGTCGAACTGAATCATATTTTATCGTTTTGTTTCTTGTTGAAACAAATTCATTGCCAACCTTGTGGCAACAACATTTTCATAGGAAAAGGAGAGAGAGAGAGAGATTCATAAGTATTGACCATGTTTTGTATATAAATCAATGTTTTTTTTTTGTTTTTTTCTATTTTGTTTCTGATTGGAATTTCATTTGATTTTGTTGGATTTTTTTTTTTTTTTGCTTGAAAATCATGAAATCATCTTTATGGCCATCTGTATTGATGATCATCATCGTTGTTTCATCATCATCATCATCAGTGAAATCATCGATTGTAAACACTGGTTCATCAGCTGTGGCTAGATCTGAAGATGTAATCGATAAGAATACGGAATAGAAGGGTTAATTAAATTCAAATTTGATATTTTTTGGTTTTTTTTGTTGTTGAATATATTTAGGGCCATGGTAATTATATATTCGGTTATGATGAAAATCATTCAACTGGTGGTAGTTTTCGTAAAGAAAAAGGTGGTCCTGGTATACAAATTGGTTCCTATGGTTTACGTGATTCGGATGGTCGTATGCGTATAGTTAATTATGTTGCCGATGTTAATGGTTTTCGTGCTTCGGTAGAAACTAATGAACCTGGAACAATTAATGGTAAATATAAAAAAAAAATTTACAACAAAAAATTTGAAATTTGAAATTGAAATTTCCCTTAAGGTCATCCTGATGTTGGCAATAAAGCTGGTAAAATTACTCGACATGATAATGGTGGTGGTACATTTTTCTATTCATCATCAACTGAACACATTGCACCTGTTTTACCACAAGTTTATCATCATAATGGTGGTGGTGATTCACACATTTCATACCCAAATTATGGTGGTGGTGGTGGTGGTGCTAATTATGCATTTTCAAAAGCTAATCTTCAAGTTCCAAAACAAAATGATTATTATTCAGCTTTACAATCATTTTATAATAATTATCATCAACATTTATCCGGTGGTTATCTACCAAAACCAAAACCAATGTCATATTCATCATCAACAACACATATAGCACCAATGGTTCCATTTCTACCAAAATCTTATCCCCAACAATCACCATCAATTTCTCAAACATTACCTGCTTTTTCAGCTCTATTACCACAATCACCGTTACCGGCACTAAGACCAGCGCAACAAATTTTAGCTAAAAATCAACAATCATTAGTTGAAAAATTGACTAAAAATGATCCAATTTTGAATGGTTATTTGGCTCAGCAACCAAATCTACAACAGCTATCCGGTAACGTGCAACCAATTGTGGTGAAAAAACAACAACAACAACCGGAATCACCTATTTCAACAGCACAGGCAACAATTTTAACATCCGATGGTTTATCAATACCATTATCCTTATCCATACATGGATTACATAAATCTTATTAAAAAATTTTTTTATTAATTTAATACATTCGAAACAAACAAACAAACAGAAAAAAATTAATCAAATTCAAATCAAATCAAAAAGAAAACTTTTTGATGCAAAATTCAATAATGCCTGTGCACCATCACGTAACATTCCATCATCATCATCATCATCATCATCATCATCAATATCAATATCAAAATCACTATTTTGATGTTTATTACCATCGATACTATTATTATTATCAATAAATCGATTATTATTATCTAATACGGATATAATCGATTTTTGATTATTTAAACTATCGATATTATTATTATTACTATTTTGATTATTATTATTATTATTTTGATCTAAAGCTGTTGTAATCACCGTATTCATATCAGTTGAAAATCTTTTGTCATTTTGTTTTGCCATGGTTATAGCCGCTGTCGTCGTCGTCGTCATAGTCGTTTGTTGTTGTTGTTGTTGTTTATTTGTTTTTGAACCAAATTTTTTACGAAAAAAATTATTCGATTCATTCATTGTTTGATGATGATGATGATGATGATGGCTATTATTATTTTTCATCATCATCATCATCATTTTAGTTGTTGTTGTCATTGTACAATGTTCGATACCGTTATTATTATTATTATTCACCATGGTAGCTTGTTGTGCGTTGTTGTTAATGTTACTGTTGAATAAAACACCATTGGTTGCCAAGTGATGATTACAAACATTTTGTTTGTCCTTTAATAAATTACAGGAATAATGTTTACCTCGTTGTTGTTGTTGTTGTTTGTCCATATTTGTTGTTGTTGTCATCGACGTTGTCGTTGATAGGTTACGATTATCATGATTATTATTAGTTTTAATCGTTGTTGTTGTTGTCGGTATTGGCATTGGTGCATAAATTTTTGGCGATTGATTAACACTAATAATCGATATTAAATTTCGATAAATATTTCCTTTTGATATTATATTATCGATACGTATAGAATTTGGATTATTATTATTATTATAAACAAAATAATTTGAATTCATTTTTATCGGATGATGATAATTATTATTTTCTCTTCGTAAATAATATTGTTTATAATGATTATTTGTAATTGATGGTAATTGTTGATTGGCTAAGGATAATTGTTTTTTAATTAGTTAAAAAAAATTTACAAAATACGTTTTTCGTTACACTTACGTTTATTTTTCGGATCAATTGGTTTATTTTTCCGTTTTAAATCTTTTCCTTTTAATATTGATTTTGTTGATGGTAATTGTTGATTCGATAATGATGATGATGATGATGAATTTTTTGCAATACGTTGTGCTTGTTGTAATAATATTGAACGATATTCTGGATCAACATACCAATATCCGCCGCTTTTTAAATCGGAATCATTATTTTTACCATGATGATGGTTATGGTTATTATTAATTTTTTTAAAACATTTCCTTAGACTTAACGTATGGCGTATAGTATTTTTCCAGCCTGAAAAAAATGAAAAATGAAAAATTAACAACAAAAATCATCATTAAAACAAAATTTACCCGATGGAGCTGTCAAAAAGAATGGATATCGATTGATAATCCATTTATAAATATCTCTAACCATCATTGAACGTGTTGGTGATGATTCAATAGCCATAAATATTAACAAACTATATGAATATGGTGGTTTTATAATTGTTTCATTTATTTGTTGACTAGAATCATCATTATGATCCGGAAAATTCTTACAAATTTTTTCTTCTTTCGAATGATCAGTGAATTCATCATTGTTGGATGATTTTGTTTCATTATCATCATTATCATCGATAATCATCTTTAAAGAATCTTTTTGTTGTTGTTGTTGTTGTTGAAAAGTTTGTTCATTCGCTGGATAAACTTTTTGTACAAGATTTACATCCTGTAACCAATTTAGATTCGTAAGATCATTATCATCTTGTTGTTGTTGTTGTTGATGTTTTGATAATTTTTTCTTTTTCAAATATTCATTATGATGACTAGTTGATTTTTTCGGGAAATTTTCCATTTTTTTCATGTGTATACAAGGCGCGAAACAATCTAATTCAAAAAAAAATCAAACAAATTGAGAAAAAATTTTCATTCAGAAAAGTCAAAATTTTGGAACACGGATCTCTCCGCTATTTATACATGAGTGTGTCGGTCGGTGTGTAAATGAATTCAATGATGATCATCATTACAACCCATCATCATCTCAACAACAAAATAGATCACATATTCAAACCAAACAAAAAAAAACGGGAAAAAAATCACATTCATGTTAAACACAACACAACACAACACATGCACACATACATACACCATATTAATAACAAAAGATATAGTGAGAAGAAAGAAAAAGAAGAAAAAATATCAAACAAAAAAAATTATATTACCACGACGACGACGACAACAACGACAACGACAACGATGATGATGATCAGAGAAAAATATTATTCTACTTCCGTGGTAACACAAACGACCAACATTCAATTATAATTCATTCAATTCAAATTTGTTGGTCGTTCGGTTAGTCGGTTGGTTGGCTAGTTGTTTCTTTTTCAATTTTTACTCATTCAAACGCAGATACAAAACCAAAAAATAAGAAGAAGAATCCATCGGTTGATCAGTAAATTATTATCATTATCGTTATCAACATTTAGAGAATAATAAAAGAAGAATGATGATCATCTAAAAATTTTAGATTCTATTGACAACCTAAATTTGATCCAACCCTAAGATATTTTTTGATATGAAATGATTTTGATGATAACATTGGTGGCCGTCAAAAACTTTTTCTGTGTTTGTTTGTTTGTTTGTGTGAGAAATATTCAGGCTGACCAATGATAATAATAATAATATTCTTCGCTTGAAAACTTTACTTGAAAATAACAGGAAAGAAGGAAAACAGTAACAATAAATTTAATTAAATATAACCACCACCACCACTATCATCATAAAACATTATTATTTGGAGAAAAATGAGAAACTATGGTGATGTTTTTTGTTAACAACGGTTATTGTTTTTCTTTTCACATATCGGATATCGGAAAGTTATACTTTTCGTGTGTGTGTGTGTGTGTCCAACGGTGACGACCAACAAAAACATTATGGACATGATCAATTGATGAAAGACAACAACAGCAACAGCGAAGAAAAAGTTATTGTTTCTAATTAAGCTAATCTAAGTAATAAAAAATTAATTAATTAAATTGATTAATTTTCATGATAATTATTATGGAAATAAAGGGGGAAAGAGTTATATGTCTTTATTATTATGACCTAGTTTGAATCCTGAGAGGAAAAAAATCTAATAAAAATTCAGCATTACAAAACTAAAGAATTTTTTCCGGAATCAAAAAAACGAAACAAAACAAAAAACAAAGAATTCATCAAGTGTCAATATTTCAACACTGATGGTGGTGTTATAATGAAAATTCCATGGTGATTTTTTCATATTCTCATATTCTTTCTATTGAGGATTTTGTTGTTGTTGTTGTTGTTATTGGTGGTGATAATGGTTGACAACCATCAACAACAACAACAACAACAACAAAAAATGACTGAAAATGTTGTTGTTGGACAATTATTATTATATGATAACAAACAAACAACAACAACAACAAAAAAAAGTCATCAATATTATCATCATATTAGTGACAAAATAGTGATATATTACACACCACGATCACCACCATAATCATCATACAAATCAAAACAAAATGACAATTATCATTATCATCACTTTGACGACTACCAAATACACAAATACACACACACACACACATAAACAATATCGATGGTATGTATTATTCCAGCTGAAGAAGAAGAATGGAAAATATGGAAAATTCTATAGGCGGTATTTGTTGTTGTTGTTACTGATCATCGGTTATTATTGTGTGTTTGTGTGTGTGTGAAAAAGAATTCAAAAAAAAGTGAATTTTCCGTCGTCGACCAAACATTATTATTATCATCACCATGGTCGACTCGACGACAACGACGAAGATTTCATGACGACCAAATGGTTAAATTCGACCAAACTAACCAACCAACCAACCAGCCAAAACAATCAGCCAAACAATCAATTTGAATCCAAACCAAATTTTTTTTTGTATTATCCATACTAAAAAAAATACGATATATGGCCATCATCATCACCGATTGTCAACATGACAATCGGTTGTGTGTGTAAGTGTGTGTTGTTATTGTTACCATCATCATTGGTGATGATGATGATGATGATGATGGTGGTCTTGGCGATGAAAATTTTTTTTGGTTTTGGGACACAGAAAATGAAAAAAAAATACATAGATACAACATACATACACGAACGAACGAACGAACGAAATGATTTTGTTGTTGCTTAGTTAAAGTTTCTTCTTCTTCGTTATTTGTTTGTTTGTTATAATCGTTTTTCGGTGGGTTTTTTTTTCTCGGTTAAAACAATTATAATTTTGTATGTGTGTGTGTGTGTTTTAAATATGCGAAACATTGAATTGAAAATTGTCTTCATGAATTCATCATTCAACGGTGGAAAAAAATGTTTCGTTGTTCACATAGCAACATTTGTTGATCAAAATGATGATTATTATGATGATAATAATGTAATTGAAAGTAAAATTTGATTCAACAGTAACTAATATTATTATAGAATGGTCAATTGAATTTTCTGGAAACACACACACAAACACAATGAAATTTTCGGGAATAATTTTCGAGACAACGGTAAACAAAGTGGTTCAGTTAAACACAACCAAAGTAGAAGAAACAAACGACCATTGAATTCAGCCGAAGGAAAGAAAAAAAATAGCACTTGAAATGTTAAAATGTCAACAAATGTTTCATTATCAAATCAAATTTCCAAAGAAAATATTTACGTTTCTAATCACAAAGATTCGAAAAAAAAATGAAAATAATGTCGACGACGATGATTTGTTTCACCCGTAGTGATGATGACAATGACAAAAATGTCCTGTTTTTTTTGTTTAATTGTTAACGACAGCAACAACAACCGATAATTGATGCGATGATGTTGATGAAACCATAGTTTCAATCATGATGATGACGATAATTTCCAATTTAACACTAAACATCATCATTTGGTAACCATAGAATCTTAATTAAATCATTTTATTTTACAAAAAAAAAAAAATTTTCATTCATTATTCAGATATGCATGATTTTCTGGGGGGGAGAACAAAATTGGGCAGAAAATATTCAACAGAAAAAAAACAAAGAAAAAAAATTGCACAAAAAACAAAAGGAAAATTAAAACGAGAAAGAATTCTAGAGGTAAAAATTGATAATGTTGATGATGAAAATCCATTGATGCAAATAAGGCTTCTGTTTTTTTTCGTTGTTGTTGATGATTTAAGCTTGCGATTCTTTTAGCCTATTGTTCAATATTTTCATCATACAATGATGATCGATCGATGGTTGCGTTGGTGATTGTCGATTATGATGATGATGATGATGATTATTAGTAGTAGAATTTACATTTTGTAATGATAATTGATTTGGTCTTTTCTGTATCATTATTGATGAATTATTTCGATGTGGTGGTATTGGTGGTGGAATTTCATCAATATCATCATTATTATTATCCAAATTTGATGATGGTGATGAAATTTTTAGCCGTTTATTTGGTTTAGCATCCAAAATTCTATGCAATGGTAATGGTGGTGGTATTGATGATGAATTTTGTTTAGGCACCATTTCATTATCAATATGATGATTACGATTATTTCGATGATGATGATGATGACGATGATTATTATTATTGATGACACGTTTTTTCGGTATAGGTATATGTCGTGTTTTTGCCATCATCAATAATGGTTTTGATGATTGCATCACCTTATCATGATTATTATCATTCGACATGACCATTGTCGTTCCAGGAACGGAAAAATTATATTTTCGATTAATGGCCTTCGAATCATTAATATTATTATTATCACCACTAACATTATTATCATCAGAATCATTTTGGTGATTGAAGAATGTTTCATCACTTGGATTGATTATTAAATTCATTGTGGCTGTTGTTGTTGTTGCGTTATCATTGGACTCATCTAACAAATCAAAATTATTGAATCAGAAAAATATATATCAAATATTGAATAACTTACTTTGATTATATGAATTCAATAATGTTTGATTTGTTAATTTATTCGAACGATTATGATGATGATGATGATGTAATAAAGGTGTTAAAAGTTTTTCATGTTTCAATGAATTTTTAATCATTTGTTCATCATTTTCAAGTTCTTCTTTTGATATCCATATCCAATCACGAACATCATCCATTTGATGATGATCATTATTATCATTGTTACGATAATTTAAACATCCAGATAGATATGATCGTTTTGAATTACCGGCCATTATTTTTAATTTTCTAAATGATTCTGGTGATTCCGCTGTTGTTGTTGTTTTTACATTTGTTGTCGTTGTTGTTGTTGTAATATGATTTTGATGATTTTTATTATGAAAACGAAACATAAACATTGAATAAAATACGATAATGATAAATGCAATACCAATAATGGTTAGAAAACTTATAATTCCAAATTTCATTGTTGATCCATTTTCATTTGCTGCTGCTGCTGTGGCAGTAGAAATAGGAATCGAATGTCGTTGATATCGAATATTATCATTATTGTTATTATGATATTCTTTTGCCGAAGAAATTATTCGCTTCTTATAGAATGGATTTAAAAATTTATCAACAAATTCATTTGTTTTTCCCTGTAAAATTTAGAATAATTGATTAATCAATTGAAAGAAAAATCGATATTCAATTAATTACCGTTTGATTAATAATAATTGATGGTGAATGATGACGTATTCCGGCGGTATTTGATGTTCCATAACGTCGATAATGAATAGCATCATTTTGTAATGAAAACATTGAATTTGGTAGCTCAAAATTAACATCAACATTAACAAATGATGATGATAATGGTTTGGATTTTTTTCGTTGACATGAACGTATCGAATCAATGGTCATATGAATTTGTTCACCTTGTCCAGGCATCAATGCAATTATTCTTGGTATATCATAAATAAATGAACCAATTTCATCATAATTTTCCATAACATTATTACGAGTTACATTATCGACAACACCTTTAAATGTATTTATAGTCAAATGATAATCATTTGGTGAAATATCTGATAAATATAATGATGTATGATCGGAAAAATATAGACGAGCATCTAATAAAGCTTCCTGATATTGTTTTGTCAATGAATTTAACAGACTAGTTCGAACCATCCATAGATTTTGATTACCATGACCATCAACTGGTTCAATTTCCATTCGAATACCTGATATCAGACTAACTTTCATATTGGTAATATTTAAACGTTCCGTGTCAACTTCGATTCGTTTCGAACCAATAATATTACCGGTTATTGGTGAAATTATTTCCACATTAGCTATACCAGAACTAACACCTTCAATAATATTTCCACGTAAAATACCTATAATTTTCTTATCCGAAACACGAATCATATTTTTTATAATTTTCGTTATACGAATCAAATGTCGACGATTTACTAATGATGCTTCACGACCAGAATCATGATCATTACTCATATATCGTGTATAAACTTCAATTCGTGTTTGCTGAAATTTCAGTTGACAAATCTGTTTTATTGAATCCGTTGCAATGTTAAATGATTCGGGCCAATAATCATTATCATTATCATCATCATCATCATTTTGATCGGCCAACATTTCATCATCGATTGTATCGAAATAATTTCCATGTATCGATGATGATGATGATAATGATGATGAACCATGATTGAAAGGATTGAAATTCATTGAACCAATACGAATATTACGATGTACACGCCATCCTTTGATTTGACTTAATTTATCATCACTTACACGAATTTCCAATGGTATTTGTGGCATCCAAACAACAAAATTTCCTTGTCCTAAAATAATACAAAAAAAAAATTATTTTTATTTTCGGAATTTTTGACAATCAACATTCATACCTATAAATGAACCATATCGTATTCGAATGGTTGCATTTTGACTGCCACGAATTTCACTACCATCCAGATAAACAGATGTACATGATGTTGAAACTTTAATAATCGATTCATCAATTGATTGACAGCTACATTGAAATGTAATATCACTAATATGACCAGCAGCCGAAACCTGATAGATACGCATCTTACGCGATATTTGTCTACCATTCAATACAGCAGTATTAAGTAATTCTTTTGAATTTGTAATGGCAATAATTTCTTCCATCACATCTTTTTGTATATCAATTAATGATGTTAATTTAATCGATTCTTTTTCAAAATTTTCATCCAATTCGGATTGTTGTCGTTGTCGTTGAGAATGTTCATTAGATGAATCGATAATAATATTATTATTTGGATTATTTCGATAACCATCCATTTCAGTTTCATATAATAATTGCCATACAATTCTACCATTCATTTCAGCAATATTTACTTCATCGGTTACTTCAATCAGCCATGAATAAACTTCTTGTGAAATATTTTCCATTAATTCATCCAATAATGGCGATTGATTATCGAACGATGATGATGATGATGAATCACGTAAAAATGCTGTTACAGTAGCTGATGTTTGTCCTGTACCAAGTTCAATACTTAATTGCCATAATTTATTCGGATGTGATAATTGTGCACCCAATATTTTTAGACCAGGTTTTACTTGTACACGTAAACTGAATGCCGAAATAGGATATTCCGGATTATAAGTATACTTGACTGGAATGTAAATTTTACTATTTGGATAAACAGGCTCTTGTGGTATTAATACGGTGACAACATTATCATTAGTAACTTCTTCATAACTACCACGAAACGGAACTAAAAATACATCCGATAAATGAATCAAATTCATTGAATTTTCAGCACTAAATAAATCGGATATTGTTTCATCACTATTATCCGATGATGATGTTGATGCTAATAATGAAAGAAAATTCTGATCATTACATTGTTGATCACCGGGTATATGTGCAATTGTATAGAAAACTTTTGCCATTGATGATTTTTGTTGTTTAGCTGCATAAACGCCACCATTCGTTACATCTAATGGTGGCCAATATAATGCTGGTATAATAATTTCAGCTATACAGGCATTTAAACGATTTTGATTAGGACTACATGTTCCAAATAAACGTTCACCATGATATTGAACTATTCAATGCAGAAAAATGATTCAATGCAGAAAAATTATTCAATTGAAATTGTTAAAATTTCCGAAAAATTGATTCAATTTTTTAATCAACTTACCAATAACAACAGCACAAATTGATTTTTCACCACCACCACCACCACCATTATTCGTCATTGATGATGTTGGTGATGATGATCGTCGTAATAAATGATTATTATTAGAACGAAGCTCAAATAAATGACTAGCATAGAATAAAACACGAAGAATTGGATGACTACGACGTACTTCACGTGTAACAAGATAAGCATTAATTTGTTCAGATATGTTATTGTTGTTGTTATCAATTTTTTTATCACCACCACCACCATTTCCATCATTGTTAAATGATAATTTTCGTTGACAATCAACGGATGTTTTTGCTGCCGTTTTTGTTGTTGTTGTTGTTGATCTGGATGAATCATTTCGACAAATTGAAAATGGATTTATAGTTTTTTGTGTCATAAATGGTCCATATGTAGCATATAATGTTATTGAACTGGTTGAATCAGTTAATGCAAAATGTCTGGAGAGAAAAAAAAACAAGTAAATAAAATCAAAATGAAATCTGATAATCATGGAATAATTATGGTAATCAAAAAAATGGATGATTGACAACAACTTCTTGGAAAGTTTCTCAATATGGTCATTTGATTAGCTATATTTCAATTCTGAAAATTGATATCATTGATTTCAACCAAAAAGCAAAGAATATTGAATATTGAAAATTAGACGTTCAGAATATAAACTACTTAATCAATTTAATTAAAGAGACAAAAAGGCAGCAGCAAAAGCGAAATTGATCCAGAGAAAAATTTTTTTTCATAATAAATTGCAAAAACATAAATTTCCGTTTCAACGAAGAAAATGGGAAAAATTTGTGAAAAAAAGAATTCTGAACAAGAATCCTTAATGGATAGTGGAAAGAAAGTTGCCGGAAGCAATAAAACAAAAATTCTTTGGAAACAAAATTGGAATTGAATGAATTCTTTTTTTTTGGAAAAAAAATTCATTTGTATGGTCTTTCTCTCTCATTCGTTTTACAGACGAATAAATTATTTGAATGTCAAAAAAATATGTGAATATCATTTTTCTCAAACAAAAAAAAACGAAATTTTTCTGTTGAATATTTCAAGGAGAAAATATAAACTTTACCAGAAATTTTTCCAATTTTTCAATTCCTATGATATAATGAAACTTTTTTTTCTCGTCGTTTCTTAAGCCAACGAATAAATAATAATCATCTCAAGATGAAATCGAAACGAAAAAATCTCTTCCCTTCTCTCTCTCTCTCTATTCTTCATCATTATTGAATGTCAGGATTTTATCATCACCACCACCACCACTCAACCAAAACAATATCGATTCAACAACAACAATGGTGGAGTGCATCATTTTCAAATAGAAAATGAAAAAATGCTGATCAAGTTTTTTTTTGTTTAATTTAATAATTTTTAATTAATTTACACTGTCATTCAGTGCGTGTTTATTATTATTGAATTTTTCCCTAGATTTGAAAGTAACAACATTGTCAGAAAAACCATAATGAAGAAGAAGACACGCTTGTCCCACACTATTGGTTGGTTAGTGTGTGTGTATCATATCACATTATTTATCTTCAAATGACATGTTTCTTTTCTTTTTTTCGGTTAATCCAATCAAGCAGTGTTGAAAAAAAATTCATGACATGGTTGGATTTTTTTTTTTTTTTTTTGGTTGTGGATAGTAAAAACAATCTCTAAACATTTTTCTTTTTTTTTCTTTCTGTCATCTCATTCAATGGATAAGAAGCGACAGAATGAAAAGAGAAAATGTCATACATATTCACTTTTGGATATGATAAATATTCGATTTTTGTCAAACCAAAACACACACACAGGTTTGGTTGGGTTAGATTAAATATATTAGATATGTGTGGATTGAGTACAGAAGAAGAAGAAGAAGAAAATATTCATAAAAAATGAAAAAAAATAATGCCACAAGGCAAAATCAATAACCCAACGTATAACTCCTTTATTTCTATCATTTTGATATATGGAAAGAAAGAAAAATCCATGGGCAACACTGTCAAAGAAAATAATAGTTGTTTTCACTGAAAATACATTTCTCATTTCCGCGTCCTGAATTATGAATTCATATATTTACACAGATACACACATTGCTCTCTTTCTCTAAATATCAAACAACATATTTTTTTTTTGGTTAATAAATAAAAATTTATCACCACAACCTGCATAGTAGAAACCTGAATTCTTTGCTCTTTGTATACAGAAACAGGTATGAAATTGAATTTTCAGGCTCCTTTATTATTAATATTTAGTGTTGAATTTTCATTAACTTTTCTACTGCTGATGTTTCGTTTGCTACAGCGAGTTAAACTAATAACAACCTTTCATATTAATACTCAGTATTTATTCTGTTCCTTCTTCAAATGACAATTGATTGCGTGATTTTGGAGAGCAACAAAAAACAAAACGCAAAACAGATACAATAACAATAACAACAACAGAATATTCTTTCATTTTTATTATTTACTGATGTTGTTGTTGTTGTCGTTTCGTATAGTTTGAAACATTATTTTGTTAGGAAAATTATAATTTTCTTGGTTACTTGTAACCAGAAAAAAAAATTTTCCGTATGTCAACACTGGTAGTAAATGTGGAAAATGAAATTGAATAAATAAATAATGACAAACAAATAGAGAAAAACAAAACTGGTTGAAAAAGGGTTCTGTGTACACCCACACACACATCAACGTAAACATCATATTTGTTCAATCATTGAATATTTTACCAAACCAAACAAAACAAAACAAAACGAAAAACGAAACGAAAAAAAACAAACCCAGAAAGAATATGACATATTTGCCATTAATCACACACACACACACACACGATATACATGAAGGAATTTTTTTCTGGTTGTTTGTTTCAGGGAAAATTACTATGTTTCACGAAAACAAATAGGATTTTCTCATATATAGGCAATATATCTAGTGGTGGCAAAAACAAATTATTATTATTATAAATGACTAATCATAATGAATTTTTTTTTGGTGTGCGATGATGGATTCTAACTTGGTTTTTGTGTATTGCTGAGGAATTTTTTTCATAAACGAAAAACCAAACAGAAAAAATTCATTTAGGGATTATGTATGTTAATATTGATACGGATGATGTTTGAAACGCAAAAAATCAAGTGTCGAAAACAACTGCATGTGTCATGAATAACTTATATTTTATTTTTTTGGTGGAAAAAAATGTCACACATTTGATGGCTGTTTTGTTTCCATTTAATGTCATTTCATTCATTTAGTTTATATAATAAAAATCCAATGAAAAAAAATAGGAATGTAAATCAAGATGATCAAAGACTATAGGGATGCTATTATTTTGTTTTTGTTTCGAGTTTGGTTTTTCCAAAGAAGAATTTTCAGAATTCCTGCCAAAAAAAAAATCCAAGTAAATAAAAAAAAAGAGATTTTTTATTGCTTGAATGCATCATTGTTTGGATATTTATTTGCTTACTATTGATTTTTTTTTTGTCTTATAAGGGTTGTGTCTATGTGATGGGTGGATGGATGGATGGATGGATGGATGTTTATTCCACATTTAACCGAATGTTTCCATATAAACATAGATAAATGTTGTTTTTGAGGGTGAACATTTTTATTCTTGTTGTTCTTTGGGTATTTGAATCGATCTAATCGATCGAAACAATCGATTAGATCAGCTTTGATATTATGAAGTTTTTAGTCTCTTTCACTTTCACTCATTGTCTGTATCGAAAACATTAGAATATAATCAGCTTTACCAATCTATTTACCATAAAAAAGCTACTATTTTCTTTGAATGTTAACTTGATCTATACGTGATAGACCGTGTTATATTTTATCTTTTTCTCTTCCTGCATTTCAGAATAATTAAATGTCAACGACGAAGATCAAAGATCAATGAATTTTTGAATAGGCAAAGAAATTTTGAATCAAGAATGAAACGTCTAATAAATTATTAAATAGTTTCTTTTTTTACGACAATTCAATCGTCGTTTGTTCAGAAGCTTTTCTTTTTTATTTCTTTGTTTGAAAATCATCCGAAAAAAAAATCATTTATGAGAAACTTTCCAAGATTCAATTGTTCAATTGAGATTCGATTGCCGTTATTTTCGGAGAATTTTTCAAATAAATAAAAGAAAGATAACCAAGAAATACAAATCAAAATTTGTTCATCGATAATATTTATGGTTTGAAAACTAAAAAATTAATGTTTTTTTTTCTTTTCTTATCTGAAATTAAAATAATCAAGAGACACATTATCAACAACAACAAGCTACCACCGTCATTATGATGATGATGATGTTACTTTTAGATGAAAAAAAACAATTAACACTAAACTATAGCAATAAGAATGTTTATCGTATAATCAGAAATGAAAAAAAAACAAAGATAAATGATGCTATAAACACACACAGAGGAAAAATGATTCAGGAAATTTTCCCAGAAAACAACCAAACTAAACAAACAAACAACAACCAGATAAAAAAAACCACTATCATTCATGGGGAAATCGTTTCAAACCAATGTTCTAATGACGGTTCGGTTTGTTTCCATTATCATCATTATAATCATCATCATCATCTACACGTTTACTTTATTGTTGTTTTTTGTTCTGTTTCGGTAAACAAAAAACATATCATCATCATTGGATTCAATTAAAGAAACTGAGAATTTTCATTTATTCGATTTATAAGTTGTTAGATTATCATTATCGCTATTATTTTTCCTACCAAGTTATTATCAACTATAATTATTGTTCAATTTAGTTAATATCTACTAAAATGTGGTCATTCAAGTGTTTTAGCGATTGATTTGATAGTTTGAACCCATGAAAAAAAAATTCAGAATCAGGAAAAAAAACCAAATGATAATAATTGTGAAATAATTTCCGTTTACATTTTTTTGTTTGGGATATTAATAACGAAGAAAACAAACAACAACAAAAATTGATTTTAATAACCAAAAAAGCTACGATATTAAATATGGAAAAACAAAATGTGTTGCCATGCTTTTTTAAATTGCTCGATAAAGATTCGATCGATTTCTTTACAATCGTTTGTTGTTAATGTCCAGGAAAGATTTTCATTTTCATTCATATTATCAAAGTTATGACTACCCATTACGAATCATCATCATTATGGATCGACGTTTGTATAATAAAATAATGATGATGAAATGAAATGAAATGACACACGCACACAGACAAACGTCCAACCATCATAATAATAATAACCAGAAAAAAAATATATAACCAGTTATCCAAATGCAGTAGAAAGAAGAAAAAAAAATACCATTACCATATGGATCGATTGAAAAGTACCACCATCACCATCACCATCACCATTATTATTATAACAAATTTAGTGAACCATATGGGTACACACACACACATCACTTGATCACCAAGAATATTCTCCACAAGAAAAAATGATGATGATGATGATGACAATTGCTGATGATGACAATCCAAA